CTCTTCTCCCTTGATGGTCCCAGGGACCTCCACTCCTGGAATGCAAAGTCAACCACTCCCCTCCTTTTGCTACAAAAGGTCTACCTTTACATTTCCAATCCTCAGTCAGTCCTGATAGCAATTATTCACTATTGTATCACAAGAGACCTATCCCCATCTCCTTTCATCAGCTTCGCCTAGACAGAGTGGATACTACTCAGTGGAGATTCTACCTTCCTCTGCTCCCTCTGGATCTAGGCTCCCTCTTGAAACCTTGTAAGCCAGTCACTTCTTGCCTTTATAGCCTCCCCATTTTGGGTAGCAAATGTTCAAGTTGCCCAAACCTGTCTACCCTGTGTACCAAGGGGGAGGGAATGATCCTTGCTATAAAGATTTATTCCCTCTTTTGAGCTACTGCATCCATAGGTGTAGGTGAAGTTCATCAAATTGTATCAGATTACTCTTTTTTTCCCTCTTCTTTCTTCTTCGAGTTGAGCTCTGATCATCCATCCATTGAAGCCAGGTTAAGTGGGTATTATCTGCAGGTGTGGGTGTTCTTGTGCATATGCCCTCTCTTCTTATCAGCTGGATACTTCACTCTCCACTCTAGTCCCTTGTGGCTATGTCACTGACTCTGGGCCCAAGAGTCCCCAGGTCTTGCCACACTGCTGGCCAACCAGGTCTCCACCTGGGTTCACAGGAGTCTATTGAACATTGTAGGGCTTAGCTCGCAGCTTCATTGCTGTTTTTTCCCTCACTTCCCCTTATCGGTGATGTACGTGGTCACCAATCAGAGTGTGTATTCCCATTGAGTGTTAGTCTTAGAAGGGGGTTTGCCCTGAGGGAAACCGACCACTTGCCTTGATGTCTCCTGGGTGAGCAACTTGCTTGTTCTTGTAGTAGTCAGTCAGACTGCTGTTATTGTTTTGAATTTTTCCTGTCAGTCTTTTCTTTCAAAAAGTATCTTCTGTTCTTCTAGTCATTTCAGGCTGGTCTGTTTGTCCTTTCAAGTGGAGATTTCCCACCTCAGAAGATTCTGGAGGCTGTTCAGGATTCCACCTATGGTCTTACGTCATGCAGATATTCCACAGGAAGCCTCCTTCACTGGGCAAGTTGTGGCCCCATTTTAGGTATTCCAATCAGTGATAGGCAGAAGACGGACTTACAAGCTTTCTATGGTGATATTTCTGGCTATTCCTTTCTCTCCTTTTCAAGTGTCTATTTTACAATGTCAACTACTATTTTAATTGTGTTTGTTTTTTAATGATTCTCAGGCAAGTGCTAAGTTATTGAACAGTTATTTTTATCTTCTCACATATTAGTCACACTCTGTATTTACATCACAACTACTATTTCACATTGATCTCAGCTGTTCCCTTAACACAGTGCCCATGTGTGTTGAGGCCCAAGTTTCTGGTATGAGGGAAGCACATCAGCATCTGCTTCCTTCATCATAACAGTCTTGCTGCCAAGAAAGGAAAAGTCAGCTGCACTACAGAGTGACTTCAGTGACACAGCCAACTTAGAGGGCAAGCCTCTGATGTCTTCTCTGGCTAGTAATTACTTAACTGCCACAACCTAATGCAGGAAGAGAAATGGAACCTCAGAAAGATTCAGGGTGACCCTGCAGAAGAATCAGAACAGAGTTTGTCTAGCTGAAGTACTGAGAGTTCCTCCCACAGTGGAGTAAGAGGCAGAGACCTCAAAGTACCAAGAACTGACACCAGAGCCCTTATCTTGGAGATCTGATTAAAAGGTCTGTTGTTGATATAAGTACCATCGAGTCAGTTCCGTCTCATCGTGACCCTGTATAGGGTTTCCAAGGAGTAGCTGGGAGGTTTGAACCGCCAACCCTGTGGTTCACAATCCAGTGCTGCTCTGACAGCACTACACCAGGAGTCCAATTAAAAGGTCTAATGATTTGAAAAATAAATGGGTCATAAGAGGTCTGCAAATACTCCAAGTTAGTCAGTCACAGAACTGGAAGCCAGGCCCCTGCCAGAGTGATCTAACACCTTGCCCAGACAGCAGACAGTGTTCACAGTTCTGCCTCTGAGCTTTCTCAAGTTAGGGATGACCAAAGTCACACTGCAACAACAGCAATAGCAGAGGGGTGCTTCTTCAGTTGTCAGAATTCCAAACCCAAATTAACATTCAATCAGAGTAACTCATTCAACCCAGAAATTGGGTAACATCTATTTTTCTTTTTTTTTTCCCTATCAAAAAAATCAAACTACTTACAGATTGTCAGTCCTGCCCCGTAGCAACTGGTGAGTTAGAAGCACAGACCTTGAGGTTCAAATTTACTTTGCAGTATAGCGCATTACCCACAGTGCCACACTAGGACTCTATACAGGTATATTTGCAGATATTGCATTTTTGTTGTTGTTTTGCAAATTGAAGGTATGTGACAGCCCTGCTTGGAAAAAGTCTATTGGCACCATTTTTCCAAGAGTGTGTGCACATTTCATGTCTATGTGCCATATTTTGGTCATTCTTACATCAAACTTTTTCATAATGCTGTTGCACTCTTGGAGTCCTGGTGTGGCATACTGGACTGCAAGGTCATTTGAATCACAAGGTCGGCCAGAGATTCAGACTTACCAGCCACTCCTTGGGAACCCTATACAGGCTCCCTGTGAGTCAGAAATGACTAGACAGCACTTAACATCAACATTGCACACTTAATAGACTATGACGTAGTATAAATACAACTTTTTCATGCCCTGGGAAACAAACAAACAAACACAAAACATTGTTTTATTGCAATATTAAGTTCATTGTAGTGGTTTACAACTGAAGTTGCCATATCTCCAAGGTATGCTTGTCATGCATTGGACAAATCTGTTGCAGAG